TGTTGGTGCTGGTTAGTGTCTTCAATGTTATCATTGTAGGAATGTGTATGTTTGTATTGAATAGCATTCAGTACATGTTGAAGGTGTGATATTAATTTCAATAGTTTCTTTTGGAAATAGAGATCAATTATTAGGGCAGATAGAAAGCAAAAAAATTTTACTGAGGGATATGGATGGGCATAAAAATTGATCTTTTGGATGCAATCGGGTGTTGCCAAAAGAGCAGATTGATGTGTTACTTGATACACTGTCTTCTCGCAAGACTTACATTTTTGCTACCTCACTGTGAGTGCCATGTTTCCTCCACCAAATTGGGATCTGCGAGGTGCACGCTCCAATTGATCAGCCTGGGAATTCGTGGAGGAGCGTGGTGCCTCACATCTGCGAGCGAATGGAGATCATCCCGTCACGTGGAGGCCTAGAAGTAGAAAACCCTAGCCCCGGTATGAATGGCAAGAACGCCTCACTAGCCATTGGATCCAGCTCATCATTCCTCCCATGTTACATTATAATGAGGACTTTTTCAGTGCGTTTTCAGTGAGTGGAATCTTTCCTAAAGATTAAAATCTTTGCTGCTCGAACTGTAAGAACAGAGAGTTCTTGGTTGATCAAATCATCTAGCAGCAAAAAGAAATCTTTGAAGCTCTTGTGATCTTTGGAAAACTTCCAAACTATCGTGATCATCTCCAAGCATTGGAAATCTTTCAAGCTCTTGTCAACATTGTATGCATGGAGTAGCGGATTTCCACTCTTCTTCTTTTCCAGCTTCATGGACCCCAAGACATAACAAAGCCGTGAGGATTGCCGATGAATCTCCATCACTATGAAGCGTCTGTCCATCTTGCTTGCTCCCTCGGCAAGTTTGGCAGCCATATCTACCAGTCCATCACTGTTGAGCATGCCATAAAGAAAGCTCTCCTCGTCTTCATAATCACCACAGGAGAAAGCCACTCCATCTTTGGAATGATGTACCACTTGCTCGTTGCACGCTCTAGAGCCAATGCAAAAGTTTGGAATCCTTCCACGTCCATCCAGCAGCCCTTCCAGTGCCTAGAGTTCACAATTGAGTCTCTATACGTGCTGCCTTGAAAGTCACTGCTCATTGTGCACAAGAACTTCCACAGCGTAGGCTCATAGAAGAGGTAGCTGTGCAGCAGAGCTTTTGAGCTCACTCAGATGTCACCACTTCCAAAAAGTGACTCTAGTGTCCTAAGAGCCACAGCTTTTGTTGGCAGAGTGAGCTGGTTCTTGAGTTGATTCTTCCTGTCCACCAAAGTTTCTCTAAGGTGAGGCCCTAGAAAAAACCCAAGAAACCACGGAATTCCAGTAAGAACACACTGGCTGGCTTATGTAGTGAGAATTTGAGAGCCAAAGTTCTAGCTCTAGCCACTGTTGGCCTCGCAAATGCTGGTAAGTTTATATTGATGATGTTGTAGCCCACTTGGACTTGGGCTATGAATAAAAGTGCACCCTCTTTTCTAATCGGTTAAGGGTCTTGGGATATTTAAGGTTAAGTGTTCTTGAGTTTGAATAGTATTGGATTAGATGACACTAGAAAGTCCAAATTCAGAAGTTTAGTTTTGTGTTAAAGACTGTTGACACTGCTTTTTCCTTTTGACCATCTACTACTCACTTTACAATTAAGTGTATTCCTTGGAAGAATAAATTCATCCAAATTCAGAAGTTTACATTTGGTATCAGAAAGGGGATCCCTTTAATTTTGTGATAATGATTGTGACACTGCTTTTTCCTTTTGACCATCTGCTACCCACTTTACAATTAGGTGTATTTCATGGAAAAATAGACTCATCAGTAAAACCATGGTATGTTTACCCCTATTGTCTTGTTGGGATCATTGATGGCTTTCCTCGGGGTCTCAACACTTTTGTACGTGATGAAAACAAATCCTCATCCATTCTAGCAAATCCCTGGCCACTGCTTCCTTGTCGATGCCTCTAGCCATGCCATTGCAGCTGCTCATCGCCAAAATCCTGCTCAAACGATTTGTGCTCCTTCCGATGCAGCCGCTCACCGATGGTGGAATTCCAGTAAGAACACACACATTCCTTATTGTGTTGAGGGAGAAAGAAGAGCACAGAGATGTACAGCCTGTCCCACCTGGGCTGCCAACGGATGCTAAATTGCATAATAGTTATGCAGCCCTGCAAAAGCAAAACACATGAGTGATCCCCTGTCCTTGTTGCTGCTAGGCAGCAGTGCCCCCTCTCCCACTTCCCCTGGAAACCTCGTGGCTGGGAGGAGCCATGGTAAAAAAAAGAGAGCTTTACCAGGCAAGCAGATGGGTATCACTCACACCTGCTGCGTGCCCACTAGCTGGCCCAAAACTTCACAAAAATATTTCAAAAGGATGTGTGGTAAGAAACTGATATTTACCGATTTACCCCGCATCCGATGGCCCCGATTGGCCAGATCCGGCAGCCCTCAAAGTTCGGCAATTGCTCTTTATAGTAGTAGATGTAAAAAAGCTTACTTTGAATCTTATTTTCCTTTGTGAACATCTACATTCTTTAATTCCATAAAGCCAACTAAGAATGGACCTTTAGAACTTGAAAGCCTGAATGAACCAATTGCCATGGCGAATGATCCAGCCCATCCAGCTGGAATTTCTCATAACAACATATTGCAATCTGCATGTTGCTGCTGTGAAATATACCGAAGCTGCTGAGCCACACCAGAGAGAAATATATTGCACAGCTTCCAAAGTACAAAGACTGCAAGCAGCCTGAGCGTTACAAGTGAGTTCTTCAAGCAAGTCACCATGCTGGGTGGTGATATTGCTTGAGGTGTGGAGCATATCAGTGAAGGCTGCTCCAATAGCACTTGTTGATGGATCCCAGATAGATAACTTTGTGCAAGAGCATACCAAAGTGTTGGCCAAGTAGCTCTCCCAGCAAACTGGAGCTGCTGGAGCTGAAACTGGAGTTGGAACTTGAGAGATTTTGAAAGGAGGAGATCGCTTGGCTCCAGCAATTGTGATTATAAAGGAGAGCGCTAAGAAAACTTTACCTTGGTCCATTGCCTTTGATATTGTTTGGCTTGGAAACCTGATAGTAATTTATATAAAAGTCAGGAGGAAGGCTCCGCAAATGATCAGAAGTGGACAAATGATTTAAAGTTTGCTCTAACGTTCCTTTTGTATTATAAGCAAACAAGTATAGGTATGAATGAGTCTGATGTTCTTAATTTAATAGTTAATTCATATGCTTCTAGATAACAATTGCCAGCCGGTGGGGAAATATTGAGGCCTTATTCATGTATGTATATATATATAAAAGGTTTCCAAGGTCAAAACAGGCAGTTCATAGTTCATAGACAATGGAGCAAGGTAAAGTTTTCTTAGCGCTCTCCCTCATAATCACAATTGCTGGAGCCAAGAGATATCCTCTTCCCAGAATTTCTCCAGTTCAACCTCCAGCTCCAGCTCCAGCTCCAGCAGCTCTTGGACTTTGCTAGAAGAGCTACCTAGCCAACACGTGGTATGCTCTTGTGCAAAATTATCTGTCTGGGATCCATCAACCAGGGCTATTGGAGCAACCTTGATTGATATGCTCCGCACCTCAAGCAATATCACCACCCAGCATGGTGAGTTGTTTGGAGCTCTCACTTACAACGATCAAGCTGCTTGCAAGCTTTGTACTTTGGAAGCTATAAATTCTATTTCTTTCTGGTGTGGCTCTGCAGCTTCGGTGTCTTACACAACAGCGGCATGTAGAGTGCAGTATGTTGTGAAAAACACCAGCTGGGTCAGCTGGATCATTCGCCAAGGCAGCTGGTTCATTCGGGCTTTCAAGTTCCATTGAAGAAGTTTCAGCATGCCTGGAAATAAATTGCACTTGCCTAGCATATGCTGTGTAGTTAGTAAAATATTGTTTTTATTTTATTAATATATTAAAAGATAAATTGGAATAGTATCAAAATAACAAATATTATATTCCACTTTGATTGAGGGAATTATGCCTAGAAAATGCTAGATGAATACAAAAATAATTTTTTATAAACTTGATAATATAAATATCTAGAAAAAAAATATTAAGTAATAATAAATATCCATTAATAAAAATATTATCTTAAATTTATTATTTGGAAATATGAATATATTTAGAAAAATACTTGACAAAGAAAAGAGTAAAAATGAATTTTATATTATTAAAAATATGTTATATGTAAATTATATTTTTACTTGGGATAAATTTATTATGATTTTATCAAACAAAAGAGAATAATTACTGCAAGACATTAATTACTTATACATTTTACTTAGGATATAAAACAATAAGTTTTTAGGAACATTAATATATTACTATCCAGATCTAATCAAGAAAATAATTATTTGTAAATATATATGTTATGGAAACTATAAATTAAAATCTTATATTCCATCATATTATGTACTAATAAACTATATTTGCAGTTAGTAAAAATATTTTAAAATATTACTGTTTAATCAAACATTACATACATTATTGTAATTTTTTTTGATAATGAGTTAGATTGTAAATAGCTAAGGCTACATATAAAAATATAATATGTACTCTTATTGTTAAAGTTGTTTAATATTTTCATATTAACACTTGAAACTTTAACTATAGTCCTACACATTTATAAAATTAAGTTAACCCACATTTGATATACCAACTCGATATACAATTACCTAGTGTTGAGTTTTATATATTTTAATGATATTTAGACATGACATTTGTACAGAATATAATTTTCTTATTATATTTATAAGTACTGTTAAAGTTAAATTATAAAAGTTAATTTTGACCTAAACTATTCAAATATTATAATACTTTATAAAACAGAATAAGTTTAGATAAAGTTGATTATTTTATTCATAAAGCATTAAAAATAAAGTTATTCACATAAAAAATATTTACTATCTTGTGTTAAACAGAATTTAAATCTCTGCCAGTTTTGGATTTTGATCTAGTGATGCCACCAAAGACATACATAATCTATCAACTCAATGAAATGGATTTTGGGATTGCGGATCACTTTGTTCCATTCACTGAAGAGCGAAGCACAATAAACTACATTGCAGACATTCACAAGGCCAGCTAGCAAAGCAGCACCACCACTCTTTGTTGAAATTACATTGCCACCGTCCACTACAATTGTAGCTCTTACTTTCGAACTCATCAAAAAGGCCACACATTCAGAAATTGTTGAAGGCTAGCCATGGCGGGGAATTCTTGCACAAGGCTCCATAATAGAGTTTCTCGCAGAGCCATCGAGCATCAAGGAAAATCATGTGGCAGCCTTCTTGAGAAAGGTATCTCAGAATGGCATGGTGGACTTTCTAGTGTTGGCTGGTCCGATGATATACCGAAATCCATATATATGGGTTGCCTCACCTCTCATTGCGACTCAGAAATTACACCCTCATCCAGCGCTACTTCTGGGCATCCGCAGATGAAATTGATTAGCTTTCCTCGCCCATACAATGGCAAGGGATTGAGCATGGGCCAATTTTAAGGATCCTAGCAAAGAAATCCAGAAATAAATTGCTTTTTATTTTCAGTGCTAGAACTCTTCTCTTACCTTGGAGGCAAGGATTGTGGCATCCTGTTCCAAGAAGAGTCATGTGGCTCGTGAGATTGAAGCATCTGGTGAGCTGATTGTCACACCTCCTAGCTCACCAAAGCTGCCAATGTGATCAGTCACCTTCTGGAACGCCTTGGTGTTAAGCATGATCCTGTCGCTCACTCCCCCAAAATCGGCAATGGAGAAAACGCACAGCCACGCCATCAGTAGCCCCCAGACTAGCTTGCTCTCCACGCTGTTGCATTCTTGGATAGCCAGCAAGCAATCACCTAGCAGGAACAGCAATGGCAATGCATTCTTTATGGTGCTTTCTTCACTTCACAGTCAACACTTTGCATGTGACACATGTGTTACAGTGCCTTCCTCTCTTACCCCACGTGGGTTGGCCACCTTCCATTTCCTCAATGTGATTATTTGCTAGGGCGTGGTCAAATAAATAACCCTTTTACAGTTACCCCCCCATTGAACGGCTGTGATTGGCTAGATTCGGCAGCCCAGAAAGCTTGGCAACTCATTGTGATAGATGGTTGCCAGGATCAGATTTATGCACACCATCAACCTAAGAAGAAATAGTAAATGTAAAAAAGGAACTGTTAGGCAGCATAGCTCCAAGCAGTACGTAAGCAACGGAAAGCTCCTCAAAAACAGAGCCTCGAAGCACCTCATATTCAATCTGCATGAAGTGCTCCAGGTCTATCAGTTCCATTGGAGTGAATTGAGCCTGGACTTTTACACTGCAAAAGTTGAGGTAGTAATCTAGGAACAAGGAGCTCTTAGCCGGTTTAAAATGTAGCAGCGGCAGGATATATCCTCCCCTAGTGATTTGCCTTGCAACAACATTTGTTTCAACCCTAAAAGCCAGTAGATAATATCATAAAAATCTACGATGAAAACACAAAATGAAAGTGATCACGAGATCGTCCATGAGGACATTCTTCGAAACCAGCTCCAGCACTTACCCGAGCCGGACTGATAGCAATCTTTTCATTGCCGAGGTCGCCGATGTTCTCAACTTTCATCGCCTTCCATCGCGAAAGTAGCTCGTGGCTCCCGATCCACCTTTAACATTTTGAGTTGTTGCATCACCAGTGGAAGACGGTGGAGCCGTAGATTCGTGAGCAGCTCTTTGGCCACCAGCCTCTCGACACTCGAATAGACGTTTGCCATGGCTCCAGATGGCTGGAACCCGAGAGCTTGAGCACGATGATATCAGAAAGCCTAATAGTGCTGGGCTAGTATATTAAATCGCCAGAAAATGTGATGACTCTATACACTCTCAAGCTCTCCCCGATAACGTGGTATCCCATGCCTGGAGCGCATTGGCTCGAGCAAGCCTTCCTGACGTTCTCAGGAGAGCCCATGATATGAAGCTATCGAAGCAAAGGGACAACCACTACTGCTGAACGAACATATTCATTTACATTTCTTTGTTTCTACTTTTGCTGATATAGGCGGGATCCAATGATCTGACTCACCAAAGTTGGAAAACCAAAAAAAAGGCTCACCCGATCAAATATTTCCAAGCAGACATCTGTGATCTACCGAGCTGTTTCAGCAGCTCCAGCACCTACAAACATGGCAGTTCCACATCTATGGCCGACAACTTATGCCAGCGGAAGTGACGAGATCTTTCCAGCGTTGACCACCAAGACTTTTATGGAAGTTGAGAGCATTGGAAACGTGGAGATCATCGGTTGGGATAAGGTGTTAATACTGATCCACTAAAGTGAACTACTATACTCGAAAAGTTATGAAAGAATATTATTACAAGTGGTTTAATCCTACATACACACAAATTCTTGTTTATTATAACATTAAAACGATTCACATGGTGTTAATAAATCCACATTTGGATCCGAATGGTAGAATGAAGGTGGCTTCTGGATGTAGAAACCAAGTCCCATGGAATGGTTCACCGTTCAGCAGCGGATTGTCAAGCCCATGGTAGCGTCCTGTGACATACACCCAGCGGAGATGTCCAGATGTAAAACAAGGATACCATGTTGCATAGTCCACCAGGTCTTTGTTCCCAGTTTCCTCGCCCATCTTCATCAGCTTCTTTTGGAGTTGAAGGATCTTGGCTTCGGTCTCCTGGATCATTTTGCATACTTTGTCGACAGCCTCTTGAAAGCTTGCATTATTCGGGCTGTGGCAAAAGATGACACAGAGATAGTTGTGGAAGCACTTGATTTTCATCTCGTGTCGGAAGGAGAAGAGAACATGATCAGCCACTGCGTTGACAAATGCTACAAAATCTGGAGATTCAACCATACCCTTATCCAGCTTGAGATCCATGCAAAACTCACACATAATGCCTCCGGCTCCTTCAACGAAAACTGTCCCTCTCCGGAGCAACTGATATTTCTCGAGACTTGGGATGGATTTGGCAGATCGCAAAGAGGCCTCCTCCACCAAAGAATCCAGAAATGTTTTCAAACAAATCATATAGCGAGCAAACAGTGGGGGATCCATGAGACTCCGAAAGCTCGACATCACCTTCTCAAACATGGCATAGCTAGGATGCTTCTGCTTCTCTTTTTCACTCAAGACATAGCTTCCCTTAGCAACTTCAAGCAGAATATCAGCAGCTTTTGTCCCCTCTTGCTCATTGATTGTCTCAGCAATGTCATCCAGAACAAAAAGACTTTTGTCCCCTCAATTGGTGGAGGTGCTGCTCCTTGCCCAACTTGGGTGATGGCTCTCAAGCATAGAATTTGAGACAAGCTCGCTATAAACTTCCCTACATAGAAAAAAAGGGGGAAAAACCATTCACTCCATCGAGAAAGGAAGAAAAAGTCCGAAGGATGATGCTAATTTGGAAGATTTTTAGAATATTCAAGTATATAAATAGGAAATATTATCAAAAACAATCTAGCAATATTATCAAAAAACACATTTTTATCTATTCAATTTTCATTTCAGTTGTTAAAATTTCAGTTTCATTTCCAACCACAATTCTAATATTTAGGTTGAATTGTTTTTAGTATAGCTATTGAAATTATTTAGTAATAATATTCACTCAACTCCTATCAAACATTTTTTATCTTGTATTATAAATTCCTAAAAACAAGAAAGGCATTTATAACTTTTATTCTTTTAAACATATTTATGATATGAAGAATATAAATTCACATTGAAAATCTCAAGAAAGAGAAATGAAATTTGGTTGTGAATGTTGTGGTTGATGTGGTAATAACTGATGCACCAATTTAAAGTTTTAAAATTTCTTATTGATTTTTAATTATAAACCTAATATAAAAAAACTTTCCCTTTATTGTTTTACTTGATCTCAGCTGACCCCTAGTTGCCATAGACTTCCATCGGCAGCCTTGGAGTGGCCATGGCTTGCAGCGGAGTCTTGAGGTAGCAAGAGCCATTGTAAACCTCCTCTATGGATGGTATTGTCCCTGGCACAAAGCTCCAATCAAAGCAGTGAATGAGATTGGCCACCAGCAGCTCCACTGTTCGCAATCCCAATGGCATTCCAGGACACATTCTACGACCGGATCCAAACGGGAGGAGCTCAAAGTTTTGGCCTTTGAAATCGATGGAGCTCCCCAAGAAGCGCTCTGGGTAAAACTGGGTGGGATTCTCCCACACTGCCGAATCCATATGCACAGCCCAAACATTCACCAGGAGAGTGGTTCCCTTTGGAACGGTATAACCGGCAATTGTGGCTTCCTGGGTGGCCATGCGTGGGAAAAGGAGCGTTCCTGGAGGATACATCCTAAGTGTCTCCTTGAGAACAAGCTGGAGATAGTCGAGCTTTGGGAGGTCGGATTCTTGGACCATCTGGTCACTGCCTACGACTCGGTCAAGCTCCTCCCGGAGCTTGATCAAAACCCGAGGATTATGCATCACCAAGGCCATGATCCATTCGCTTGTGGTAGCAGTAGCATCAGTCCCAGCCATAAGCATCTCCTGGAATGAAAGTTATAGCAATCACAAAGTACATAAGAAGAAGTCTTACCAACAGATTTGCTTTAACGTGTGTTTCTCCCTGGGCATTATTTCCGTAGAACTCAAGCATGATATCAAGGAAGTCCTTGCATTCCCGTGTCGTTTCCTTGTGCTCGTCAATGATCTTTCGCAAGAACTTCTCTTGTTTCGCATGGATTTGCTTGTACCGAGGGATCTGCCAGTCCAGCCATCTTAAATACCACGGTACGAGGGTGCTAATGCACGAGGGATTGATCACCAGGTCGACAATGGAGAGCAGAATCTCTTTGAATTCTAAAGCGTCGGAGTCGACTTCGTCTTCACCAAAGTACCTCTTGCTCATCAAAATCCTGGACATATTGTTGAAAGCAAAAATGGAGAACAGCGATCTTATTTCCACGGGCTTGCTGTTGCTGAAAGACTTTAAGATCTCTCCCAAGGCATGGGAGAGCTCCTCTTTTCTCATCCACGCAAATGAATCGATGGACTTGGCTGTGAAGAGCTCCATGGAACACAGCTTGCGAGTGTCTTTCCAGTACTTCCCATATGGAGAAGTTCCAAGTCCCGAATAGTTATAGCTGAAGTGGTCGCCTAAAACCATGTATGGCCTGGAACCAAACTTTATGTCGTGTGTGGTAAATACTTCCTTGATTATCTTCTGGCTAGAGATAACCACAGTGGGCATCATTCCCATCTTCAAGAACACAATGGGGCCATACTTTCTGGAGATAGATTGTAAACTCCTATGTGGGGGCTTTCCTGCCAGTAAATGAAGGTGGCCGATCAGCGGCAGTCCCCATGGGCCTGGGGGGAGGTTTTTGAAAGATCTGTAGCTCCATGATAGAACTAAGAAGAGAATAAAAGCTACAAAGAGCACAACTGGGAGGATTTCCATGAACGCAAACCTCTTATGCTGCCAATTGGAGAATTGCTTCTTTATACAGAAGTTCATGACACAACACCATATGTTCTACGGTGGAACAGTGATTCTAGCAAGAGTTTAGTTCAATTATGAGAATTGAACTAAACTCCAAGGCTACGCATGGAGATCTACGAGAACATGATCATGTAAGTCCCATGTAGGTGTAAGACTTAGATACAAATTTTAAAAGAAAGTTTGAATATATGGTTAGCATCGTTCACGTGACAAATAAACCTGCAAATGCAACACCTCATCCAAATCTCATAGAGCTTGCAAGGGGACCCAACTTGTATTGTACCTTGGAGCTGGTGTTGAGGAAAATGTAGCCACTAGCTCACGTCCAAAACTCGCAAACTCGTCAGCCGGCTGTGAATCCACTGTCCATTCTTGGTTTCCTTCATATCAACCAACCAAAGAATAGAAGCTTCAAGTGTGTCAGACTTTTTGGTTTGAGCATTATGTGCAACTTTCTTTCTAGAAGGAGTTGACACGCTTGAATTTGAACGATAGTTTGGCTTTCCACGAGTTTTCTCATAACACATTCTACCGGGAGAGCTCTGCAATCCACCAGTCAGTCAAAGCCACAAAGTAACTTTACTTTGGGTAATGTAAGCACGAAAGCCCCTAAAACTTATTCAAATGGACGGGCATACCGTTTCTCTACCAGCACCCTGCAACCTCAAATCTCTCCGACAGCAGGTTCTTAAGCTCATCATCGTCCGTGCCAACTAGCGGATCTGGCACCGCCACCAGTATCTTCTGGAGCAACTGCTTCACCTCCCGGTTCAGCAACATAAAGTTGTCTCCCAGCCCGAAGCACGTCAAATGCCTTCGGTCCATAACACCCAGTTTGAGGGACTAACCAGCTTTGGCTCCTGTAGAAAGACCAGCAGCGTGACGATCCCGATATCTACGTCCAAAACACCGCTTGTCAGCTGAGACGGTTTGTAGCCACCCTGTATCGGGATTTGCTTGCAGACGTGCGACAGGCAAAGCACGAAGCTCTTCTCGACTCATGCTTGCAGTCAAGACCGTGCACCGTCGTGTACACCAGTTTGGTTCGCTGTCAGTGCGATATGATGAGCTCAACATAAACCAAACGACAACCATTCTTCGACAGGCCCTGGATGACAAGAACAAGGACTACCATTCTTCTCGGCTTCACCATGCCATCTTTCCTGCTCGGATTGGAGCTTTCGAGACAGTAATCTTGACGGAGAAAGCTGGGCCCTCAATGCTGGGGATCACACCAGTTCCTGCATCCGCATGTCAGTTGGCATGCTGCAGCTCAAGCTCGTTCCTTCATAAATGACACACTCTCAAAATATAGCCCTTGAATGACCCGTGTGCAAGACCGCCCTCTTGGCAGCTCGCTGATCGTTACTTCGATCCAGACTTTGAAGGCAATGCATGACATTCTTGAGTGCCTGATCAGCGGGAACTGCCGGAAGAATGCAGCCCCTAAACTCCGAGTCCATGTCGCAGTGCCGGAGGAACCGGCGCACGCCTTACGTTACCAATCCCATGATGCCTCTCATAGCCGTATAAAATACATATGACGTTATTTGTCGGTGATGTGTCACGTTTGATTTGTTCCACGTTTTCGAATCAAGTTATGAGGACTGGAGCAGAGCCCTAAGCGGAGACTTCCCATCCAGCTCCTCCCCCAGGACTTGCTCGAGATAGAGCACCATGGAAGCCTCGGTGCTGTAGCTTGCAAGCTTGTCTGCGAGCTCCGGGGTCCGAGGAGGATAAGCCGAAGAATGTATGCTCGCAAGGCTGCAGTGGCAGACGTGAACTCCCAGCTGGCGACTTCCCCGTGCACGATGCCTGGACAAGGCAAGAGTACTATGCTGTAATGGATGCCTGTGCTTCACTAGTTTGAGAAATGCAGAAGAACGAAGACTTGCTGTTCCTCAGCTCGTTGATGTGTGCATACATTGATTCATGCGTACCTCCCATGAATTCCAACCCGCTCACGTCCCTGGGTACAGTACTTTAGGACATAATACAAATTAGTGCTGCTTAACGATGTTTAAAAATATATTTTCCTTTCTTAAATGAATTGAAAATACCTATAAAGTGATATCCATGATACCCTACCTCTAGAATCTAAGCCCAAAGCATCTCTTCACA